GGGAGGGTGGAGGTTGTGGCTTCACACTCTCAAGGTCGCACAGCTGCTGCGCAGTGCGGCTTGTTTACAAAAAAAATCAGTCCTGGTCATATTTGAACCACCTAGTACTTCTGACAGTAAGATTTTTTGATGTGGCAAAATTTACTACTCTAACTCCATTATCATTACTAATTTCATGCAAACTCTCATTCCCAATTGTTGGTTTGAAAATGTCTTCCCTCCCTACTTTGACATTGAAATCTCCTAATAAAATTTTCATAGGGTACTTCGGGAATTTATCAAATACATATATATTCATATATTCTATCCTTTATGTCATCAGTTTCATAATATCAATCACAGTGTTCATCAACATCCAACACTTATTACGAATATTCACACTTAACACTTAAAAAAATTTTATATTGTTGTTTGCTTTTTCGCAGCATTTTCCTTTTTACGGATATCTGTACGAAGCCTACGTAATATTAGCTTGTCACTTAATAAACTGTTCTCTTCACTCTCAAGATAGTCTAGTAAGGATTCCAAATGATTAAGAGCAGCACTGCCCACCTCTTCCTCATTCTCACTTTCTTCCCGCTCTTCTGGCTGCACCCCCACTGAACTTACGATTTCATCACTGCTTACCATTTCGAAGCCCAGCTCACCACAGTCACAAACAGCTCCTGTTATTGTTGTTCCCTGTGCCCTTAGTTGATTAAACCAGATCAGCATTGCTTTGTCAAGATCATCATATGTTGAGTTTTTCATGGTTTTTCTCTTCTTAATTCCGCTTGAATTAGAAGACAAAGCAAAGGAAATTAATTGATTCTTTTGTTTTTTTCAAATCACGAACAGTTTGTTCTCCAATACCGTATTGCATTGCTAATTGTTTAACTACACCTCTTTTTCCCAACTGATTGATAATTTCAAGTTTCTGTTGAATACTTAACACAACACGCTTCCTTTTACACCCTGACATTTTGCTAACGCACTTGAAGAGCGATACAAAGAGACTAACTGGGGTGGTGTATCTGTCCTTGAAACTTTCAAGAAACCCTTGCACTCTTTCACCCCTACCCTAGAACATTGTGTTAGCATAATGGGATGACCAAAAAATGCAGAGCTCGGTTCACACTAGTGTGAAAATAGTGTTACAACTCAACATGTGAAACAAAAGTGAATGACTATTAAACAACATATAAGCCTCAAAAAAGCCCCGGTTAAGCCGCAAACCGGTTTATCCGCTCCCAGATAATCGAGATTTCAGTGTATATTAATATAATTTCAGAACAGTGTACACAAAGGTTTTAGAGTACCTTGACATTCACACATGCCCACTGCCATATGAATACTGAAAATATGTTGAAGATAGAATCTAGTAACTTTCTAATGATGACATAATGTCTGCATCACTATCACACCATGGTTTGTGGAGTAGTGCAAGAATACTTAGTCTGGATGGATCCCATTCCAAACAGACACTGTGTACACAATTGTAGTGCTTAAGGAAAAAAATAGGACACACAATCACTGAATTCACAGTATTTTTATTTGGCAGTACTGCTTGTTAATTATAAAAACAAAGGATACATAAAAAATTGTTTGTAGTGTATCAGATCTGAAGAGATTCGGGATCTTGTGTAAATTTAAGTCGATATTAGTATCATTTCATTGTAAACGCAAGCTCTTTTTTTGTAATATTTATTTGCTCTGGCCTCTTTACTGAATGCCACAATGAAGAAAATGAAGTGATAAAAAATTTAAGAACAGAGAAAAGGAACAGCGTGAAGTGAGGAAGGGATAGGTGGAACAGATTTTGTCACAGTTTAAAGTGTCTAAATAAGGAAAAAGAGCAGGATGAGAACACAAGAGAAACTAATTTTGTTACAGATACAGAAACTGGCATGAATGTGTTTTAATTGGAGAGACTCATAAGAATATTACTGAATTATAAACCAAGAGGATAACCAAATTATCTTACGACCTACAGCTAGATGGGATCATGTGTTCTCTTTTAAGCTGGAATAGGCTGATAGGCCTACAAACCTTGAAGCAAAAGAAGACAACACAAAGTTAATAGATGCTCTCAAAGAGAAGCAGGAAATGTCTACAGTTGTGCATATTAACTTTGACTGTAAGTAAAACAGTTACAGTTTTCAGTAAGCAAAAACAATTGCCCTGATTAGTCCATCTCTAACTGAATCACTGGGTTGACCAACACAGAAAGTGAAGAACACAGTATCACACATCATTCGCTGTGTACAGGAGCCCATCGGATACCAGCCCACCTTGTTTAGAACAACTCCCACTCTGTAGACCTTGTTCCGTTGTATCTCCACTGAACGGTTGAATGTTATCTCAACCAATGACCCATAGTTCACACGCGTTGTGTAGTGTGTATATGTGAGTCGGCTGCCATCGGAGTCCAGGAGGTGAGCGTAGAGAAGTTCTGTGTACGACATCCCAAGCTGTGGGTTGGGAAGACCACTCGCTGTCCCAACCTCATATCCTTCTCCAAGAACTTGTGTTGGAATCTGTACAACAGTAACAGCAACTCAAGCAAGAGACTTGTTACATTTACATTCAGCAGAAAAAAACAAAAATGTTTGCCTGGTAACTGAAGAGTGCAAATTTTCTTCCCACAACAGAATATGACACTCTGGTCAACCTGCATGTTATGCAGTAAGTCACCTTGCCAAGAAATGTGGAATGCTAAAACATAAAGGAGAGACTGCTAAAGTAAAAGTTGACTACTGCTGTTATTTAGTTTGAACTACTGAAGGGAAGGTGTACACTGATGAACTGCTGTAGATATACAAGCATACTGTGGCAGATAAATAATAGAAAATAACTGCATTTGGACTCACCTGCACACCGTGCACACAGATGTTCCGATCAACTGTGAAGGTGACAGAGCAGTCCAGGATGCTAGTGTTGAGGCAGTGTGGTTGTGGCAGAATGTTGCGCACACAGTAGAACTTCACGTCCCTGTGGGCCAGGGGGCCATCCCTCATGGCTAGAGAGGCAGCTGAGGGTCTGCGGCGAGACTCAACACTGTTTGAAAAACCTTCAGGTAGAGGAAGCTTGCATGATGCAGACGTGGAAGAGATATTGACCAGCAATGCATAACTCTCATCCCGAGTGAGCAGTGGAGACAGTGCTGGGCCTTCTGCAAACTGTGATGGAGTCAGCGTCAGAAAGCGGATCTTGTTAACTGCTGGTCCCAGAACAGAGCGCAGTGATTTACCATCATCTGGTGAGAGGCCTGAAATAAAACAGTTCAGTGAAAGCTACAGCAGTATGGGCAGGAGGACAAAAGTAGCCCAGCATTCAAGTGGATCGACTATGAATTAATGGTCCAAAAATTGGGAGTGAATTCTTCTAGGCAGCTCAGGGGGTAATGTATTTAACATTATTACTTGTACATTCTAAAGGGTTTTGTTGGTATATAACACTTAGGACTTCTGGGTTTTTGGACTTTGTCCACTTGCTGGTATTCCCAGTGACAGGTAAGCCTCCTCCTAATGGATGCAACAAAGTAGATGTCTCCCATCCTCATACCTGATGATGGAATCAGATCCAGTTTCTGAAATGTTATGTTCTGTAGAATGCTGGATCATGGATGAAGTCCAAAAGCTCAGTAATTCTTATTACTGGGAGTATTTATCCACCCAAAGCAATGATCAGGTTGACAGAGCAAGAAAACTCTGAGACATGTATTCACAAGGTAGTATTTGGTTCCAACTTTGGCCAGGGTTCCAGGTATCCTGATAAGTATAGCAAGTGTCACGTAACTTCGAACAAGGCCAAGAGTAACCTTGAATGCGCAGAAAATTTCAGACAAGGGAGTCAGTGAAAGTGGAAGAACGAGTGTTAAGAAACTCCTCCCACCAAAAGCTATGTGCAAGGGTTTGACTAGGAATGCGGGGCCTTGTTCGAAGTTACGTGACACTGTCTATATCTTGTGGTCTTCCCGTCTCTCCAGGCAAATGTCAGGGCAATACAATAAAAGAAAAGGAATTGCATAATAATACCTTAATCTTCAGGGATCATTTGCAATGAAAGGTTTCCAGAATGCTCCCAATAACTTTGCCCTGTCTGCCTCCCCATCTCTAACTCAAGAACAGACCAATGGATTTTCATGAAATCTGACACTGGTGACTTTTACAAAAATCTGTTGATTAAATTCTGATTAAAACTGGACAATAACACACTTCTCCAGTTCTGGTTAAAATTAGCCAACAGTACCAGACACTTCACATGAAGACTTGCATGAATTTTTACCTGCATCTTAACCATAATTCACTAAATACCTGCCAGAGCAAAGAATATTTTGAACACAAATCTATATATAAAAATAAAACAAACATTTTACTTTCTCTGAAAGTCTTACAGTTTTCAAGATAATTAAAATGGATTTCTGTGCCATGCCATACTTCAAGAAATGATGGAATTTCATTTTGGAAATCCTTCGCACAAATTTACTGAACAATCTGAACTTTCCTAAAGATAAATGAAATGGAAGAGACATTGTCATGTGTGACTATACATGGGGTTCGGATTTACCAGACGCTTACAACTCACTGTGTGTAATCATAACAACACTGCTAGTCTACAAACTTAACAAATCACTATAGCACACTCTACATACTCTCTGTTGTAGTCTTCACTAGTTGCTGCTTGGTTATACAGTCATCACTAGGTTACATCTGCTAACAATGGAGCTTCTGCTTTTGTGCTTACATCCTTGCTGGATGACAACCAGCTTTCAACTCATGGCCTCCATGCTATGGCTGCCTAATTCAACTGGGGGCTCTTGTAATATAACCCTAGCATGGACCGTACAGAAAACATTGTTTCCAACACTCTTCTAGTGCTCTGTGCATATCTGTTGCCACAGATGTATATCAAGCTGTTACCAAGCAATGTCTGTCTTCTTCTGGCTTTCATTTCACAATATTGTGGCATGTAGACCTGCTGCTAAACAACAACTGCTAAATAAGCAACTATATGACAGCTGTTGCTAAGTAATGGCCTGAAACAGCAACAGAGGAATGGTGTTTCCTGCACAGTCCACGCCGATGGCTGTGCATGCAACAGTGGAATATGTCATGCCAACCCTAAGCAACAGTCACACTGCAACAGAAGAACGGTGTTTTACATGTGGTCCATGCCGAGATGTTATAAGCAGGAAAGTTAGTGTGGAGTGAGTCAGTCAATGGAGTGAAGACTTGGTTGGTGAGTTAGCGAGTTATTCAGATAACTGCAGTTCTGTTGTTGTGAGAAGCTGGTAGCTAAGGCTGGAGGCTGGGGTGTTGTATATGGGTCTACAAGGGATGTATTGCATATAATGATGATATTAAATTACCTGTAGAAATAGGTACAAATACCAAGGTATTGCATATAATTGGATTATTTTAACAGAATATATGTATAAGCTGTGTAAGCTGTATTCTTCCACAAAGTGTTGTCAGCCGGCCGGATATCAATTGAACTTGTGACCCGAGACACTACGTCACATTTGGAGTGAGGGCCCGCACAGCGCTGGGAATAATACAGCAGCCGAGATTGAAGTTCAAGTGACTACTTTTGTAACCATATTTGGGCATAATCCGGGACTCAGTCTTTAATTGTAGTATAAAACCCCAAGGACTGACGCCCCAAGTGCTTTTAGATCATTCAACTAGCTGAGACTACTTGTATGTCAGTCTAATAGTCGGTACTGCCCGTAGCTTAGGCAGATAACCACTTCTACGTTTCCAGCAAGATCCTGTAATACATTTGTTAGTAATAAAACTTCATTTATATTACAACTGCTGAGAGGTACACCCCATTCTGCCTCCCAAGGGATCCGCTCGCCCAAGGCCAACCTTATCCCTCAACCGCGGGATACAACAACTGGTGTCAGGTGTGTGGGGTGATTAGCAGCCAGACGAGGATCACCTGGAACGTCGAAGGAGGAGGAGGAAGAGTCTACCAGCCAGGAGAACTTCCTACTCATAACAGTTGGTAAGACCCATCTGTTCAGTGGCTCATTAACTGGGCACTTGCAGTTCTTCTAAAGGAAGAACAAGGGATTGGAATCGAACAGCGTACTAGAGGTGAAGAAAGAGGAGCCTCATTAGTGTGGGAATTGTGCAAGAAGGTAGTCAGCAGTCTCTGCAGAGGGGTGGAGACGAGAAGAAGACGATTTTTAGTGTTGCTTCGATAAGCTATTCCTAAGATAGAAATTTACAAGTTACAGGAACGGCGGAGCTGAGAAGGAGCAGATAACAGATAGGCGAAGGGTGAACGACCGAGAGACTTCGAGGGGAACCAGAGGACGAGTCAGCTGTGAGAGAGGAAGAAGGACCAGCTACACCAGATAAACTTCCATTATCATCAACGGTGAGTCCCTGTTTAAGGATATATGAGTGTCAGTTCGCGAACAAATACACAGGTTGTAGAGGCAAATAGCTCCAGCAATATGGCAGAGCAGTATGTTAGTGTGAGTGAGGCACTGAAATTAGTAACTCCATTTAGTGGGAATAAGAGAGAAGTACTTACATTCATTTCTAATGTGGACACTGCGTTCGAGGTAATAAACCCGGAACATGAGGATAGACTATATAAGTTCGTGTTAACACGAATCAGCGGGGAGCCTAGGATAGCGATAGCCCACCGAAATTTGGACAAATGGGTAGAGGTTAGGGAATTCCTGAAAAATACCTACCTCGAAAAACGTACATTGGATTTTCATGCTACCCAGTTATTCAAGGCTAGGCAAGAAAAATCAGAAAGTGTTTCAGAATGGGTGCAAAAGATCCAAACATTAGGCTCGAAATTTAGAGAAGTAGCACTGATGGATTGTTCAGAAGAAGAAAGAGCAGGAATTCTCACGTTATCAGATAAATTGAGGAACATATGCTTCGTACAAGGACTATTTTCTGATAGAATACAGACTATTGTCCGTAGTCGGAATTTCGAGGATTTCGATGGAATCGCAGAAACTGCGTTGGTAGAAGAATGTGCCATTGTGTCTAGAGCAGAGCGGTACAAGACCCCCGGTTCAATCCCAGTGCAGTGCACGATCTGCAGAAGGTCGGGGCACACCAGCAGCAACTGTTTCTCCAAAATAAAGAGAGACAACAGGGTAAATCAGTTTTCAGTGAGGAGACCGGCGCACCCACATGATGTAGTTTGCTATAATTGTGGGGAGAAAGGACATATTTCTAAATTCTGCAAGAAACCCCGAAAAGCAGCGAGTAGAGACAGGCAGAAAGCAGAGGAGAAGGGAAACGAGAATGGACCGTTGGCCCGCAGCCAGCAGACGGTCCGTACAGTACAATAGGCTGTATCAGTGGAAATAAGTATGACGGTTTGGAATGGGAAGTGGATGTTAGCAAGGCGGGAAAATTGAAGTTTCTGGTAGACACAGGCGCTGATATAAGTTTGATAAAGAGCACGAAATTGATGGGAGACGCCGTGTTTGACCCGACCCGTAAAATAACCGTGAGAGCAGTGGACGGATCCGTAGTAGAGACGTATGGCGTCATAGAGGTTGGGATCCAGGAAGGGAAGTTTAGAATTCGATTCCCGTTCCATTTAGTGAATAAACAAGTAGATCTTGCCTACGATGGGATCCTAGGTCGAGATTTTTTGCAGAGTACGAAAGCCAACATATGTTATGAGAATAAAAGAGTAACCTTTGAGGCGGAGGGTCACCAGGTCACTAAAGAGATATTAGGTGTAGGTGAAACACCTGTAGCAGGGCACGCTAGATCAGTGCGATTACCCAAGAGGTCGGAAATAATAGTAGAGGTACCTGTAGAAGAAGGGGAAGCAGGCACTGAAGGGATTATCAGTAAGCTAGAGATAGCGGAGGGAATTTATGTAGCCAACTCACTAACCAAGATTGAGGGAAATAAGGCTATCACCAGTATTCTAAATACGAGAGATGAAGAAGTAGTGATGGAAATTCCCCGTATGCAATGGGAAAGGTACACTCTAGATAAGGAAAATCGAACTGGTTATGTGGGAGCCGTAACCCCAGTGGAAATGAAAACGGGACAAAACAGAGAAGAAAAGGTCCTAGCGAACTTGAGACTAGATCACCTAAATTCTGAAGAAAAGGGAGTAATCGAAAATACCTGTAGAGACTACCAGGATATATTTTACCTAAAGGGAGACCACTTAAGTTGTACGAATGCAGTCAAGCATTCCATAGACGTTATACCGGGAACTAGCCCGATAAATACTAGGCCATATAGACTGCCAGAAGCCCAG